TCCCTACTCGTGCCTTCGGTCGTAGTCGTCTATACAGAATTAGTAAGTTTAAGTTAGTTACTACTACTATTAATTATATATACTATATAATAATATGTGTGTATATATATATATATATATATATATATATATGTGTGTGTGTGTGTGTGTGTGTGTGTGTGTGTGTGTGTGTGTTTCTCAACTTGTTTTCCTCAAGACAACCCTACAAATAGTCTACAACTTCCACAGCACCTCTAATGTCTTATAGCCTAGTTAACAGTGGTGTAGCCAGAGTGTGTGTGGTCACAGAGCTACCTCCCCTCCCTCAATATGTCCCAGATGAAATTTGGCAACCTTCATATTTCTTTTAGTACACATACAAACTTTTAAAATATGTGATGTATCAATCTATTTGTTGTTGTTTTACAATATTTTGCTAAAATTTTGTGGCACCCTGGTTGAGAGACACTAATTTATATATATAATAAGCATTAAAATATTTTAGTAAAGATTCCATTGTCAGTCCTAGTTGTCACCTTAAAGTTACATTTAAGATGATATATTATTATTTTATTTCTTTTGTAAGGGTGGAGGTTGGAAGTTTCATATACTAGACATTTTAGGGTGGTTTCATTTCTACTTTAGGAATTATAAGAACTTCTAAGGGTAACTGCCTTCCCACAACTGGCTGCTGACAGAGAAAAACAGTAGGAATTAAAACACTGTGGTGTAAGCACTCAACTCCATACTCTTAATTGATTTAAATCTTTGCTGTCTAATCTAACATCAGTGTTTGGATTTGTCTGGTAAATGGGATATCCCCAATGCATTTGGAAGCTATTACCACAGGCATTATCCACTATGACTTTAAGGTGACAACTAAGATTGACAATGGATTATTTACTAAAATATTTTTGATGCTTATTTTATATTAAGTTCATTATTGTTTTATAGTGCTGATTTTAATCACCTATTAACAATTAATGTAATTATCCGATCCAATTGTGGTAGGTATTTAGGTTTAATAGTATTGAAAATATTTACTTTATTACATCTATCTATCTATATACATACACACACACACTTGTACAGATAATCTAATTAAAATAGCCTTCTATAAACCTTAATACTATTCAACAGTTTGGGTATGTATGACTACACAATAGCTTCCAACTATATTGAATTCATCAACATTTAATCATAGTTAACGTAAAAAATGTACTTTGACCAATAAATACAAACTAAACAATCTTTGAGCTACAGAGTTGAAATCCTGAGCATTAAAGTATGTGATGCTCATACATTCATCTTTGTTAAAACTAACACTTAATAATTAGTATGATAGAATAGTATTTCAAAATGACATTGAATTTCTTTGAATGCTTACATTTTATATGATTCTGAGAAAATATTAAGCTTAACGTGATATAACATTCTTTATACACAAATCCATTTTACATGTTCTATCTCTCAAGAAAAACCAGTTCTTTCACTGGCATGAATCATTCAGAATAAAGTTGATTATAAACACAAAACTGCTATACAGCAATAACACCACAAATTCTTGGGCAACATAAAATAATAGTAGTAAACCATACCATGAAATCAATGTTGAATTCATCATAGTTCATGAAGTAGTCCATGAGTGTTTTGAATCTTACTTCTTCATCAGTAACTTCTTTAAACCTACTGAAAGCTTTTAGTATTATGTGATGTCCTCCTTTTACCAGACAAATAGCAGCTAAGAGCTCCAGTACTAAAGCTTTGGTCCTGTGGGTGTAGATATTTACAACATAAAGTTTACAAACTGACAGACTAATAAGACAATACTGACTTTAAACACTGTAAACAAGAAAAAAATATTTGTTCTCATGCAACAAAATGTCCAGAAAATTTTGTAATTAAAATGAAAAAATGTATCATGAAGAATGGTGAACATTATTTCCCTTAACATAAATACACAGTAAAGTATTGCTGGTGAACATTACTCTAACTGTGTAAGCAACTCGCATCAAAATCACTGATGATAGGAGAACTAACTTTTAAATATCCTCCTTCCTTAAAACTCTGATGTGCCAGGGTAAAGTAACGTTCAAGCCATAACTGTTAAAACTTGTGAATAAAGAAAGAACCATGAGTTTGAACACGCTACATTTTATTAATGCATAAAATATTAAACTAACAAAACATAGCACAAGTTGAATAATAGCTCAGAACACAAAAATCTGTTCTATTAGCTTAAAGTAAAAAAATGTTTATTCATGCAAGACATCTATTTGCTGATAACTTAAGAACATTGACAGGTAAAAATTGGAAGACACGTTTCAAACTATTGGGGGTGCAAACAGGGTAGCAAAATCCAAAGGTCTCGACAACAAGGAAATAATATTGAGGGGATCCAGGGGATGATTCAATCTATATGACATTATATGTTGTACATTTAATGTTTTAAGCAGACATTTAATTTGTCTGTAATAATGAACCTTGTGATTTGAGTTCTTTAAAGTGATATCCAAAAATTTTTTATGGTACGCCAAAACCTATTGGAGGTATTACAGTACCTCCTTAGTGTACACCACTGCTTACAAACCAGAAAAATATATTCACTATATCCAAGGAAAGCCAGTTGTTAATAAGTGTTAGGTAATTTATTTATAAGATCTGTTTTAAACTCACTTGGCAAAGAATAAAACAAATCTATTATAGAAAAATATTTTTGAGTTCTAGTTGAATTCAATAATAAGACATCCTAAACTGGAGGTAATGATTACCTTGTTTGAAAAAACAAAAGCATATATGTATAGCACACATAATAAACTAGAACTTATGATTTTTCTTTATGTTGTAAATAAAATCAATAATCAGATTAAGACTATGTAAAATGAGCACTTATAACAATATTTACTCAACATAGAATTTAAATACATTTACACTAAATAATCTCCACCTTTTTACTAGATATTATATTTGAGTTTCATAAATGCCTTTACTTCAACATTAATAAATATCCTATCAGTTTTGAATGAAGCTGTTATGAATTCCCTATTTATCAGTAGTAGTTTCAGTTATGTATTTATTTAAATTACTGAATAAAGAAAATGCTATATCAAATTACAGTTAATTTTCCCTGATAAATAAACAAAATTTTTTTTTTTGCTAAAGCTAGAAAAATATATTTTTTGAGATAGATCACAAAGTCAGAATGACAAATTATAAGATAGTTAAAGGCAAATGTGGAAGAATGTAAGAACTTAATCAATATACTTCTATTTAGTAATACAGTTACCCAAGGAACAAAATTTAAGAAGTAATCTGATTAAGCACTAGTTATGTCTCAGTTATAAAATGTAGAGAGAAACAACTTCTATAAAAACATTCTTACATACTTATTAGTAAAAACATCATTATTAATAATAATAATATTAAATTATATATTAAAAAATTTAAATCCTAGAAAGAGAAAGCAAATGCTACTCCGACATGTTGAGTTGATAATGAAATCATGTCAAGTCATGCCTTTGTGCTCTATTCTTGATATTAAACAATATTATCTTTCCGAGATTCTTATTATTACTAACAATTCAAACTCATAAGCCTAAAAAAAATATAATCATTAATACCCTAAAATTTCCACATAATAAGCAAGGTTTTTACTTTACAATTTCATGTTTTATTATTTTTTCTCTGTTATCATGCATTCCATTCTACTTATATTACATACTATTTCTAAAGAGAGAAACCTCACCTTAATTTTTTGTGCGTAAGACTTAATGTAATACAATTGATGGCTTCCCTGTGCTCAAAGACCATGTTGAATCCATTCTGAAAATTGCATTAATCATGGACTTTTTATTATATAATATTGTTTTTTTTACAGAATTAAAATGTTTGTAACATTTAAAACCTCATTAAAACTTACTTATTGCTATATATATTATAATAAAAAAATATTTAATAATTAAAAAAAATTAACAAAAATTTTACAAAAACTTGTAGTCTAAATGAAGAATTCAAAGATATATATAAGTTTTAGATTTTGTTATCCAGGCAAACTTTCTTTTTTTTTCAAAATCAATTACCAATAGATATCTATAATGAAATGCATACATGATGTAGTATGTCATCTATTACTTTCCAATTAATCCAACCTAAATTTTGTAAATGTGCTTATTTACATAGATCCTAATGTAAATTACCAACAATATTACAATATTTACTAAATCAGGTGCTCTTTTCACACCAAAATTATGCTCGAGGAATACTCAAGTATATTTTACATAATATTTGAAAAATATAAAACAGTCTTTAAGTCTAGTCTATTGAAACCTTGGCCATAAAAAACTACCTTTTTATCTTGAAGTCTTTCTTCTATGAGCAACTGCTAATGAGTGTATTGTATTTATTTATTCAATAGTAAGTTTTGAAAATTTTTTTTATGAGATGTTTCAATGTCATATGGGATTTATTTAATTTACTTACTTTAATTTATTTTTACTTCTTCAGAAAAACTCCATGAATTTTTGTTTTTTTATTCTAGTTACTATGAGAAAAGAGTTCCACAAATTTTACATGTTCAACTTTATAAACATTATAATTTTCTTTTGATATTCTACTATAAAAATTATGAATACAGGATATGGAATATTTGACAGCTGGAATAATGCTGTGATCATCACTATAAAACAAAATTAGACTTCAACACCCGTAAAGAAAAATTACTTTATAACATCTGTAACAAACAAACCTTGTTATTCATGATAGCTCGTAGACACATTACACACACATGGATGTCATCTGTGGCCTCCCCCATATTGAGCTTTGAAATGTGCTTGGAAGCTCTTCTAATCTTAAAGTTATCCAACTCTAATGCAGGACGGTGTGTGGTGGACGAAGAGTATCCATTGGGGACTGATCCATTCTCTTGAATGGATGCCTCATGGGTTAAATGCTCATGTCTATTTGCAATTAATAAAAAAAAAAAGGTTGAATTATATTAGCATTTTAGATGGTATGAATAAAATTGATAATTTGTACAAAAGTAATTAATGTATAACATAGGGAGGATATATAAGAAACATCTGCAAGTGTTAAAATCACTCTTTCATAAATAGTTTAGCATATATCGGTTGTAAGGTATATTCAGAAAATGTTCTCTAATTTTCAATGAAGTGAACATTCTGCATGTTACTGTGAAATTCTTGTAAAGTGGCTGTCAAAACATTGTACATGTATTAATCCTTTTGCTTAGGTAATGGTTACATAAAGCAAAGGCTATCCAACAGGTTCCCAGTTATTCCCCACACTGGACCATAAAACCAAGGGCAGGGAATCAGCTTGTTGGGGAATACATCATCATTTTGCTTTCTTTTGCAATATATGATCATAATTGAGGCCATGAATCAGGGTTTTAAGGGTTTGATGTTCCCCACAGGCCACCCAGTAGACACTTGTAGAAGTTGGTATGAGTTATGGATTTTCTCAGTTGAATATGTTATTTAGAACAGTCATTGATATAGTTATTGTACAGGTTATGAGCTACTACAATCATGATATCTTCATCTTTCTCAAAAGTGCAGTATAACATTATTATTCTTTTCTATGTCTCTGTGCAGACACTTAGGATATCCTTCTCCCACCCCAGCAGCCAATCTAGTCACAACAGAAAAGTATACCAGCTAGTAAGTAAAATGAACAACCTATATGTGGATAAAGATTTTATTTATTTAGTTGTGTTTGTTTGCTTCCTTTTTTGTCCATGTTCAAGTTATTCTTTGCTTAACAGTCTTGAACCTGCATTTTGCACACATTTGGACATCAGTACACCTAAATATCATACAAGCATATTGTTGTCTAAAACTGTCTGCACTAATTAACTATTTTAAGATATCATAGCCAATAGACTTGTAATACTCCTTAAGCCTCTCACAACTTACCAGGTTCTATAATAGTGTATTTTACTTGCTACCTATCAGATTATTCTACATATAAAGAGGAAACCATCAATAAATACAGCAGTAATATCCTTCAAAACAAGTCTTCCACAAGTGAGTGATGTTGAGTAATATTTGCTTATGTTGGAATCACTGGTAAAGATTAAATTGCTCATTTCACAATAAACCAAGTCCTTACTCTTGAGTCTCTTGACTATTTAACTCATTTATGAGGAAACCCCAGGAGGAAAAAGTTTTATTTTTCATTTCTGTTGAGAAAAGTGCTCTTGTAAAAAAAGGAGCAGGTTTTATCAATTATATGTTACTCTGTACTATAATTTTTATTTAAAAAGCTTTTATTTATACAAAAACATATATATATATAATATATGTTATATATCAAAACACCTAATAAAACTTAAATAATTTCAAACAAATGTTAACAATGAATGAATTCTATGTTTTTCAAGGTTAAGTTGTTTAGTATTAAACATAACAAGCTCCTCCTTTATTTAAAGAAGAAGAACATGTACTACTTCCAGTGAAACAGAAAAGATAAAATGCATCCTACCTCAGTATCATCAGTCTAAAGGACAAGTAATCTACAAGAACATCCAAGCCTTTATTATCTTCATTTAGAAATTCTCTAACCCATCTAGAATATAAATCAAGATACAGTTAATAAAAGTTTTTATTCACATGTATCAATCAGTATGACAAACTTATTCTTGCCTATTCCTATTCTATATATTTGATATAGAAATATATGTAATTAGATATTTTCAGGATGATCATTCATGCCTTAATTTGATTTATACAAGTCATATTTCATGCATTTTTGGGGTCATGACAAGGTTGTTTGGGAAGTCTGATCAAGCTGCAGATACAGAGACCCATTTTCTGTCCTTTTTATACATTAGGCAATACTTTATATTGTAATTAAATGAAGACTAATTTCAACAAGTCAGGTGTAATTTGTGCATCTAAGTCACATTCTGTTTAAAATAAGTCGAAACAAAATTTATAACAAGCAGTTACAGCTCTGTGGTATTTCATCCCACCCACCTTAATACAAATACCCACACTAAAATTAGCTAAGAGAAATGAAGAACCTAAGCTTGATCAAAGACTGAAAAACAATACCTGAATTGTCCTTATTTTTTAAGATTAAAAATGAGTATATGCACAAAAATATACTCCAGAACAATTCAATATTTCATAGCATTAAAAATGTATTATTTACTTTATTACACTTTTATTAAAATTTCTTTCTTCACACTTTTCCAGCACTGACCTAGCTTACCTATTAAAGTTTTAAACAATTATTTATATAAACTGTGATTCTGACAACCTCCCTTCCAGATCTACTAACTAAATGTTTATATCAATTAAAGTGTTTTGAATGTGTTAAACCTCTCTTACACCATATACTTCTGTATTCAATACTTTCTTAGTATTTTTTATGTCACAGAATTTGAAACGTACTAAAATACTCAAACAATCAACATTATTTGATACACAATTAAATAAAATCTTTATTCTAAGACCGATCAACAGTCTTAATAGGCACTTTAGATGTTTTGACATCAATTCACGCCATCCTCACATCAAAACATGTAGTACTTTTTAGGACCATTAATCAGTCTTAGAATAAAAATTCTAATTGTGTACCAAACAAAATTGATCATTTGAGTATTTTAATATATGAACTTTAAGCTTTTAATACCAAAGAGTTTGTTTCATAACCAGACAACTAGCAAGTGCATATATTTCAAAAGATGTCCTGCCTGCTATATATCCTTTGTGATAAATTAGTTAACTTGTTTCAAATGTCTGAAAAAGAACAACGCTTCCCACAGTATAAATTTTTATTTGCAAAATAAAAAATTTTAAACCAATTCAATGTTATTACAATTAAAGTTGGTAAAAAGAAGGGCCAAAACGAATTTATAAAAACACTTAAATTGTATTTAACTTGTTTACAAGAAGAGCCAGTCTTTAGATATGGAGTTGATCATAAGTAACCAAACAATCATGAAAATTCCACCACATTATTCAATAATGTAACCTCTCTCTCTATCTTTTAATTAACTTAATTAAACTCAGTAAGCTTTTTCCTGATCTATTTCATCATCTATGTAACTTTCAGCTTCCAGGTTTTGGCTAAAACATTTTAATGAATCATAATTTATAAAACTTGTCGCACATCTCAGAGTGTCTTATAGAATTAATACATTGATTTGAAAACATTCACTACTGATTTTTGTGAAAAAATATAATTTAAGCATTAAATATTTGACAGGTTTAATATTTGTGATAAAAAAATCAAAATAGACTACAGTACTCCATGCCTTAATCATAAACATTGGGCTATATTAGTTCAATTGTTTAGTAAATTTTCAGTATTTAACACTAACATTAGTTACTTTCCTTTCTACACTTTGTACCCACAAACTTACTCTATATTGTTTGTTCGTAAAGAGATCTCCAAGTCACGGAGATTTTGAGTTGAAGTGGCATCCCCTACAAGCCTTCTTCGCTGGAATAATAATAGTAAAAACAATTACATTGTATTTCCTTTTATGTGCTACAATAGAACTTTCTTTTGTTCAAAGAAAAACAAAAAAAACATACATCATGCATCAGTTGGGTCTCTCAAAAAAGAACTACCATCTTTAAACCTTATCTGTATCAATAAATGCTCACATGTAAAAATAACTAAATATATCTAAAATGCTTCTGTTTAATATATGGTATATGTTAAGAAACTGGTAGGAACTCAGAATGGTACAGTTTTGTAACAGAAACACACTGATTCAACTTTAAATGATCACAAGACACTGAAATAGATAAATTATATATTACTTATTTTAACAATGTAGAACCAAAGAGGAAAGAAAAACAAATGATAACTTCACATATTCTTAAAAATTTATTATAATATCTTACAGACATTAAGAGATGTGTAAAAGGATAAAATTTTTGAATACATACATTGTATGTCAATGTTTATTTCATGTAAATGTTATATTTGTCAATGTTTTTCAGCTAGAATTAGTTCAATAAAATGACAACACTAATAAACATACAACTTATTTTACTTACATATAATATTATTAAATTAAAAATGACTGAAAATTTCCCTAGTTTATATCCTTCATGTTGTCTAACAATTGGAAATAAAACTATTGTATAAGAATTGTGTAAAACATTTTTTACAGATATATCTTGTGTCAGCAAGTCTATTAAACTTTTCCCATCAAATGTCTGCTGTTGAAAAATGTTCTTAATACTGGCATCAATAGTAGTTAAGCTTATTGTTTTGCTACAAATAATCTTGGTTTTATATGTATTTTAGCACTATTCAATACGGGTTTTTAGAACAAAAATTCCTTTAGATGGTAAAAACGATCAGTACCCAGACACTTCAAACAAAAACTTTATCAGTTTTATCACAAGATGAAAAATGGTTGATGGACCCAGTGAAGTAACTGCAGAGAGGTGATAACTTAGTGTTATTGTACTTATCACTGAACTTTGCCCACACATGTATTTGTAAAATTCCTATCAGACTACTTGACAATGTTATTTACACATTATCACATGAGTTTATATACAACTGTGTGTGTGTGTGTAATATCCAAGACAACAGCAGAACATAAAATACTAGTAGAAAGCTTTTGTTGTTTGGTTATGTCTATTATGGTTGGACAGTTGTCTGATTCTCTGTGGGTTCAATCATTAGACCCATGTGTTAGGACTGATGATGTTAATGATTGGTTAAAATGGAATTTTCATTAATGGCACCAGTCATGTTTTCAAATTACTCATGTTCTTGCTATTAAAACCAACTTTTATATAACCATGTAATAATCTAACCTGGTTGTTACAGGTAGTAACATGTGCATATTTACAGTGATATTATCTTATTTAGAGTTACAGCTGTTTTATAAGCAACTAAGTTTCAATACCCCAACACAATAATACTGTCTTTCAATATGCATAAAATACTTCATGCGTTAATCAATATTTGACTGTTAGCATGGATGGATGGATAGTGTATTATTCTTGCAGAAACAAGCATCATAACAAAATCAAGCACTCCCTTATAAAATCACAAAGTATGAAATTTGGTTTACCTATAAAACAACATGTTGTATATGAATTTTATTAATATCCTTACAATAATAGAGACCATCTATTAAAAATTACTAAACAATTGTACATACAAGTGAATTTTCAGCAATATACTGTAATGTCACATAAAAAGATTTCAGACTCTATAACTCAACTGAATTTATAGTAAATTGACTTCACGTAAAGGATGCTTAACTTCATAATTTGTACTGTTTCATGTACATGCCATGAATCACAAGAAGAATTATGCACTCTGAAGGCTACAACACAGCATGACATATAAAGTTGAAAAGCAATAAATAAAAATATTTGTTACTCTTAATTTTGGTTTCATTTACTCTTGAAACAGAACACTTTCAGGAACCCTGCCAAAGTACATCTAGTTATTATTATATATACCATATTTTTCGGAATATAAGACGCACCCTTATTTTGAAGACAAAGTTTTGGGGAAAGAAAAGTTACAGTCGCATCTGAAGGATTTTTA